AAAATATGCCTGTGAACCAGCAAGATAGGCTCAGCATCACTCTAATGTTTTTATGTGGTCTCAGTTGGTGGTATCAGAATTTAAATTAGAAATCCCAATTGAACAATGATTATCTGGACTCTGAAGCTGACACAAAAAAAAAAAAAAAAAAAAAAAAAAAAAAAAAAAAAAATCAGAAAGAAAGAAAAAAACCAAACCCAGCTACAGTCTTTCCCAAGAGCAATTGCCCTTTCTGGCAGGAAGGGGTAAAAATAGAGGCAGCTCATTAATATGGCTTGGCAGTGCTTAATGGCAGCTGGTCTGAAGAGTTAGATCAGTGGGTCTTTCCAGCAGTACTCCCGGACCACTGCCAGCAGGTGTTGCTGTGTTCAACAAAATGAAAAGGAGTGCGGGGGGGATGGGGAGAAAAATATTTATAAAGAGAGAAATAGGTGTGAAAAAAAATTAGTCACCGAGTAAAGCTTTCATTAGGCCTTTGGTAAAGCTGTACACCAACTCCCCGAGGCAATAAGGAGCATGCTCTGAAATGAATAATGCTTTTCACTTCTCCTAAACTCCTTTCAGAAGTTATGCTGCGCTATAAATCACATACATGCTTGCTGTGCTTCACTCGGTAGCTTTCTGGTTTTGTCACAGACCACACACTTTCTCGCTGGGAATCCTCGGCCCCGCCGGCGCAGCGGGAGAAGCTCGGTCCCGGCCGGGCGCTGCCAGCGGCACCGCACCGCTCTCAGCCCGAGGCCAAGACAGCTCCGACCCTCGCAGGGCAAGGGCTCTGCCCTCCGCAGAACCAGCGCAATGTAAGGGCTCTTGCTGGGAATATGTCTGCTGCCAAACTGCAACAGGCACTGCACGACCAATACGCGACTAATTCCGAAGAGTTTTAGGGTGTCGGTTGAAACCAAAGTCAGCCTGGTCCTGAGGAAAACAGGATTGCAAGGTGGAAAAGTCATTTGGCGAAACTTGGGCTTAGGATCCCCCACTAAAAATGGAGTCCTGTGACTAACTAGGTACATACATGCTCGTTATCTTGTTTCTTGAAGCTAGTGTCTCACTGTCCCTGAAGAAAAAAATAGGAGGAAGAAAAAAGGCAAAAAAAGCAAAAGATAAAAGAAAAAAAAAAAAAAAAAAAAAAAAAAAGGCGCTGCTCTTTGTAACAACTGGAACACCAAACTCAGATTGCAGAAAAGCTACTGCAACCTGTTTCACTTATTATATGCGTATTAAAATTGGGAAACAAAACAACCTATCTGATCATATGTTTCCCATTAACTTCTGATTTTTTCTAATTCTACTAAAGCTGTTGTGTGAATACAGTACACACACCAGTTGGGATCAACGCTGCTATAAGGACTCCCTGGTATCACTGTAAATTGAAAGTTTGAAATCTTTCTTTGATCCAGATCAGCCATATTCCAAGACAGATTAAAGTTACATTACCAACAGGACATAAAAATATAAGTACGATTCAGGCCAAAAAAAAAATAAAAATCCGAGGGATGGGGATTTTCTGGTAATCAGTGGGTGTTATGAATGAGTAAAGACTGCATGATCATGCCATTTGTCATAAACGGTACCACATAAAGCCAGTTATTATATGTGTTTAAGAAAGGAGATGGATTTCGGGTTTACTTTTGACCTTTTATGTATTACTTCTGTACTGCCTAATTGGCATAGTTATTTCTGATTTTCATTAATGTAAATTGAAATGAAAATTGCTTTTTATTTTATTCCACAAATGTTCATACCACACTTGCAAAAAATGTGACCTGTCATTCATTGTAATTTATTTTTAGATGTCTAAACAGTTTTTAATAGTGTGATGCAATCTGCACGTCAAGGAGCCAGAAGACTTGGACAGGAGCAATATGATTCATTTTTTAAAGAGCTTTAAAGGGATCCCTAATTTAAACAGAAGGAGATATTTATTCAGAGATTGAATTTTAAAAAAAATTCATCCAAAGCAAAAGAATTCTTACTCAAATGCATTTTCCTGAATTTGAAAAGAATCCAAATTTGCAGAAAGATTATCTGGTATATCCTTAAGTATGTAAGAAGAAAACAATTTGCAAAGTAGTAATTAAGTATCTGGCAAATACTGTATTTGAACTAGAACAGTGTTATCTACATCTAATAATGTCTATATCTAGCTATGCAATACAACAAGTTAGAGTGTATCTTCCTGACTCATAATGTTTGCTTTGTCTGATTTTAAATTCTAGTCTTTAAATGGATACAGAAATCACCACTACAAGTTGATCCACGATATTTTGTCATGCTAGAGAATTAGGAGTTTCCATTAGATAATTACCAGAAGTGTGTCTCATACAGGAAAAACAGTCAATTGCTGATGTAACAGGATTAACCAATCCAGCACAGTGATCCGGCCCACTTTTGACAGACGTTATATGTGAGTGTACACATGAGAAGTACAGTATAAAGCTTCGCATTATAAGTACCACAAAGAGGAACTTCAGCAGTTCTTAAAGCACAATACAGCAGTCTCCTTCTGAGAGTCAGGACTAGAGAGGTAAAACTTTCAATCAGCTTTTTTTCCTTTAAAACTGAAACTTTAAATTCCTGTGCATGCTGTTGCATACTGTTAGGGTTATATTGAATGAATGCATATACAGAACTTTGCAGTTCAGGTAATTTGCAGAAAGAGTCTGAACCACCATTTCTGTATGTATTCAAACACATTTCTGTATGTGTTTTTGTACATATATGCATATACATGTAAGTACAAATAAACCATGTATCAGCGGTATTGGAAGACTCGCTTTTATAAAACAGTGGTTTTTAGAAAGTTATGCTTTACATTAAATCTGTCATCATCATGGCATGCAAGCAAAATATGCTATACCTCTATGTAACAGAGATTGTATGCGATAACTGTACCTGTAGTATATGGCAAGCAACCTATACCCCACAGCAAGAACCCAGACATACTTGTCTGTATTTTATTTTGATTTATGCCTCTCCCTTACTTTTCATCAGACACTGTTAGGATAGGTGCTATATTAGAACTATATATAACTCCTTTAATTATGTCATCTGTTAGTACATCTAATCATGAATGCATATTTTCATCTGAAATTATTTTTTCATCCAATTAAACTTTTAGTTCTATTTCAAGCTGACTTTCAGACTTCGTATAATTACAACAGACTTTGGGCTGTTCACAAGATCCAAGAAAATTCGATGTATTATAGAGAGGTTTGTGTTACAAGGATGTGTTTATAAGAATGGCTGCAGGGTTTATAATGCTGAAAGACCTGTAAGTGTAACAGTATATAACAGTATAGCAACTGAGGTCAGTAAAACACAGATGAGGGGGTACTGTGGATGCCTTATAACAGTAAAAGACTTATAAAAGATCTTAATTGAAAAGGACTAGCAATATATAACATTTGTAAGACTTTGGTTGATTGTTCAATTACTTCTGTATGTTTCATTTACTCTACCTATAATTCCTTGCCTGTCTCTTAGCCCATGTGCCTGTAGTCATCTCATGGAAATTAGAGACCTTTCAATGCTTATATTTATAAATTACTCCTTTCCACTGTGAAATACAATGGTTGACAATAATATACCGAGTTGAATATTTGCTGGGTAGGAGGTAAGCCTATCTGAGAAGACAGAGGTGTGTGAGAGAGAGAATGAAAGGAATGAAAAGAAAGAGGGTAAACACTAAAAAAAGAAGGAGCTGCTCTAAGAAAATCTGTGCAAGATAATGCCTGAAAGGGAAGAATCTCAAAAGTTATAGTTAGAGCTATATTTTTCCATTACCAAATTCAAATGTAAGTGAGTTTGCAAACTTCAGCTTTGCTGTGTAAGGAACAGAATGGAGAGGATACAGAATGTAAAGGCAACCTGAAGCCATAGCAGTGGCACAGGGAATGCCTTTTCACTACAGAGCAAAGCCCTCCGGGGCATAAACTGACAAGGGGCTACCAACACTAGTTGAAACTCCTGCTCCTTGTAGTGCTTTAGATTTCTTTTAATTTCCAGTGTCTTATTCTAATATTATGATTGCTCTCCGTGATTTAAATGAATGAAGTAATAAGTGCCTTCTAATAACAATGGGCCAAATGTAGAAGATCTTACTCAGCCTTCACTCAGACAGAATTATTATTGGCATCGATGAGGGATTTGCCTGAGTCAGAAGCAAGTATGATTTGGCCAGATGACATGTAAGACTTTTCACATTCAAAGCACTTTTCAGGCATTGCTTGATTAACCCCAAACCTAAATATATCTACCCAAGAACTTCCAGGCACAGAAGTATAGCATAGAAACAGGGATATTACATGGCATTACCATGGCATCTCACATATATGTACCAACTCCTGCTTAGGCTTTCAGTGCCTGACTGCAAATTGCAGCTGGGGAGTGTATCATGTATTATAGAGCCCTCCAAACAACAGTGCTATTTTGTGCCTGTCAGACCTCTTGGCAGTGTTGATAACCCCCAGCACTTAGAAGTGAGCAGAAAAGATTTTCTTCTTCTACTCCAGGCAGCATAATATTCTGTTCAAAATATTTAGAGCCCCTTCCCTCACTCCCATCTCATTCACAAGCTATTTAACATCTCCTGCTATCACCAACAATACCAGGCAGGACCAAGAGCAAGGTGCTCGTTAAAGATTTCACTCTTTCATTCATTCATGTTTCCTCTGTTTAGTTAAGCCAGTGATACTGTTGAAGGAATAAAACAAACAAAACAAAACAAAAAGAAAGCGAGAAAAAAGGGGGGGAATGACAGCTGGGGGGGTGGGGGAGGGTCAAACAGAGAGGAAAAAAAAAAGAAAGGTA